ATTGTGATGGAAGTCCTCAATGGGACAATGGGAAGGCCCTGCGTCAGTCAATCCCCCTTCCCCCCCCCCCCCCCACAGCACCGGACGGGATCCTCCAACCGATTTCGGCCAAGGATCCGTTGTGTCGAGCTGGAGTCTGCACCAGTTATTTGACCGCCTGCGGCGATAAGGTGTCTTGTTGCGTTAATGAGAGCTCTTGCGCCGATCCGGGGCTAAATGCCCGGGTCAGAGAGCCTCCGCCGTTAAGCACGCGGTTAATGCGTGAGTGGTCATTCTAAGCGCTTTCGTATCGACCAGGGAACACCGCCCCTCCATCGCCAGCATTGCGCCTGTGCTCTTACGGGATGGCCACTTGGTAACTCACCGGAAAAAATATGCCCTTTAGTGCTCTACCCACTGTGCCCCTTGCCCGGAAATGTAAAGGCTTTCCTTAGTGCTCAACAGGGCGGATCAAAATGAGGTCAAAATGAAAAAGGCCAACACAAACGAGTGCGTCCATCCTTGTTCAGAGCCAACTTGTGAAACAAACTTCATGAAAAGTTTCAAGCCTGCGCGCTCGCAATCCTGGAAACCAGGCCACCGATGGCTGGGCTGTAGTTTCCACCAAAGCAATCCGCGTTGGCCGCTGCATGTAACACCGGTTGGCGGGCACCTGGCACGCGAGCATGGCCGTCGTGAAAGAATGCTTCCGGAAGCTTTTTTCAAAATTAGTCGGAACCATTGACAAATTGGGCCAGGCATATATTTTAAGCATTTTATTTTGATATACCCTCTAAAAACGACAGAAACAAAACAGGTAGAGACTATATTAACGTCTGGTTCCACCAACAAGGTCCAGCGCCCGTTCACGGTGCAGTAAATGCTAATCCGTTCCTCTTGCATATTAAAATGCAAAAGTGAAACATACTTTCGCACTACCTTTGAAATGCACGAATTGATATCCTAAAAAGTTCAAACGTACTTCTTTTAAAATCGTTATTATTTTCGTCCTCCCGCTGGCCGCTGTCTCATGTGAACCGCGGACAAAGCTGCGCGGCCTAGAGAGGCTGCATAGCCGAGCGCTGGGTTTTGTGCCGAGACTTGCGAGTGCACATGGTTAAAACTGTTATGTAATTTTTCCAATGCCCGATTCTGGACAATGGTGGAACATCTTCAGACGAGCATGGATTAGCCATGTGAATACAAATTTATGACCCCTATTTTAAGCCATAATCTACGCTCACTGCCAACTACTTCCACAAAACTCTGTGCAACGAGAGAAATTTCGGCGCAGTCCCTGAGTGTTTTCGTCCTAGAAAATGTCCAATGAACCACTGCACAATAAACAGCGCCGACAGTTTATAACATGCAATCATTTAACGGCCGGATCCTTCAATTTAGTTGCGTCAAAATCTAACGAGACTTGTATATTTTGGTGGCTTCTGGCTTCCGTTTCAGTTAGACGGATATCGAAATACAGCGAAGGAAATCGTGCCCCTTAAAACCAAGTGGGTCAATATGTTTTTTAGGGGGGCGGGAACGGGGGGGGGGGCTTTCATAAGGAGGAGCTCTTTGCCAGCCCCCATCTTACTCTGACTGGTTGCGCCCCTGCGTGGGCGAGTTCGATAAGCGTCGAGCAGGCGTACAAAATCGTATGGCCATTGAAGATTGAGCTCAACTGGCAACGTTGTTGCAATCAACCTTTGGTGCATATGCCATTGCCACGACGGGGGCTTCACTTGCCACACATTCGAATGTGAGCAAGTGGGGGTCGCTTTTGTTTCAGAGGCACAGCAGATTTGAACAGTTACCCCCAGGGAGAACAGCAGGCTGGCAATGCGTGTTTTTTAACGAGCGGGAAAAAGCATTCTCAACAGGAGGGCATCTATCTATGCGCATTTAGAAGGGGGTTGAACGCCATGTGCTGAACCGATTCATTTACATTAACTGAAACGCACATGTTTTATCGGTCACATTTTGCTTCGTCGAGAACCTGCGCGTGAACGGGTTGTGGTAGGTGCATTTTCGAGGGACGCTTTATTCCTGTAAATGCAGTAATGAATGCATCACAAATTACATGACCACATGCTGGTAAATTACGCGCAGATTTCCTGACCAGTATGTTAAAGAAAAGTGCAATTGCACTGATTCAGCATAAAAAAACAGACGCATTCATAAGAAGTTGGTGCAGTCTGCCAAGCTTCCATACGTAATTACTGTGGCTGCGTACATGAGGTTTGAAAATATGTAGCAGGTGAAAGTTATGTATATATATATATATATATATATATATATATATATATATATATATATATATATATGTGCGTGCGTGAGTGCGTGCGTGCGTGCGTGCGTGCGTGTGTGTGTGTGTGTGTGTGTGTGTGTGTGTGTGTGTGTGTGTGTGTGTGTGTGTGTGTGTGTGTGTGTGTGTGTGGTGTGTGTGTGTGGTGTGTGTGTGTGTGTGTGTGTGTGGTGTGTGTGTGTGTGTGTGTGTGTGTGTGTGTGTGTGTGTGTGTGTGTGTGTGTGTGTGTGTGTGTGTGTGTGTGTGTGTGTGTGTGTGTGTGTGTGTGTGTGTGTGTGTGTAATATAGTCAAAATAAAAGTAGATGGAATAGGCGAAGTTTTTCGTGCTCGTCCCTTTCTGGCGACTTACACCACTTTGCCTGCCCAATCATTTTAAGCAATCGTTACCCATACCAGAGAGTAAAGTTCAGCATACGCTTTCCATGTTCAGATAGGTTTATTGTCATTGCACACGTGTTTGCATTTCCGTCAACATCAAGTAACATACAGGCTTGTGAAAAAACATCAGACAAGCATTTCCCCTTCCCATTTACCTTTTTTGATTTTTGGATGCGTCATGAGGAGTTTTCAAAAACAAATGTACGGAAATACACTCCCTGTGCTAGCCTGCTTTGATTCAGAACGCCACCTTGGTGCGGCGCGAAAGGTTCGAAAAGGTGTCTCTTAGGGGGAATGTTTCACGTTTGAAGGCATTGAATCAGGCGCTAGATATCATGAAATTGGCTCGCTTGCAACTATTGGTACGCTTTTAAGTGGAAAATACTGATTTAGACAACAGTTTTTTTTCTATTTAGCAAACGAGCTCCGCGATACGTCAAGTTATGGTGTCATCGCAACTAACACAACATTGATTGACAGCCAACTGACTGTCCATGCATATAAAAATCGCGCTCACGCACGCCAAATATGAACGACTTAACCATTTTGTTTTTCTTGGCTTGATCTTGGCTTGTGGAATGACAGAACTTAAAAGACGTCATTATGACGTCATGTATATCAAGATGACCTTGAAGTACTCTTCCAGAAGTAGTCCCCCATCAAGTCTCATCATCTGCAAAATAGCCTACCCATTCGTCGGAACAGGCTCCCCATGACCGCAAAGCGCGCGTATCGAATTATTTGTGGCGTGATTGTAGCAGAAAGCGGCGCGAGTATTTTTCCAATGTGTTCAGTCTAGACATGCAAAGAAACGTTACAAAATTCCCAAAAGCATTGAACGGCCACGTTTTATGTGATGTGATATGCTATATATATATATATATATATATATATATATATATATATATATATATATATATATACTCGCAATCATTTGCTTCGCTCCTGTCTTTGTGACGTCAGGTTAATGTTGGCTACAAATTGCTGCCACCATTTTTTCACGCGTTACATCTTGGATGTTACATTTGCATGGCCTTGCGATGGGTGTAAACAAACCGCAGGAAGTCCCTGACGAGTCGCCTACTGATTTCCGGCCCACATATTGCGCATAAACTGTGACCTTTTCATCATATGCCTTTACTCGCGTTCTAAATAAACTTCGACAATACCGATGATGGAACAGGACGCGGCAGAAACTGATGTGACGCTGCATATGTGGTATGGCGAATGAGAAGGGGTCTCGATTTTGCACGATTTGCAGCGGCACAGCTCGGACTTGATTTAAGGGGAGGGCCCGGAATTCGGTGGCTGAGTACGCACCACGCTGGTCTTTAATTTCTTTCTTTAGCCATATATGGCGGAAACAGAACACAAGATCCATGCTTAATGGGCGCCCCCTCCCGTCTTTGCTGCGTCTCCGTCGATTCGTATAAGTACCGTGGACTGAAGGACTCGCATCCTTCTCAAACTTGGGGAGGCAGTCAAAGACATTCATCTGCACCATCAGTGTCGCCCTGATATATTTGGGGCTCGTTTCAATTCCTGTGAATCGGGAGTACAAGCGCCGAGACTACCAGCCCCCAACCCCTACCCTGTACTAGATTTGGGGCACTTGTTATTATGTATGTGACAAACCTTGACGGTTAAAAATTCCAGCCCACATGAAATAAAGATTCAGAGCATACGGTTTGACACGGGAGGTACAGGAAAAAATTGCGAGTGCTGTGGTGCGTCATCGATTTTCAGTGCGTTTCTATGTTGTGCGCCACTCCCATTGTGATATCCTGCGTATGCCCCTGCTTTGAACTGATCTTCTACAGGTGGTGCCAATGGATTTACCTTAGGATTAGGAATTACCTTAGGTGGTGTCGATGGCGTCCTGAGGGATTTTGAATGTTGGCTGTTAGCATTTACACCCTCTTGGTCACATGCTGGCAGAGCCATTCGCCGCCAAAGTCTACCAAACAACTGTTCCCCCGGAGCCGTCCAGCCGTCGCCATCCAGAACAGGCCCGCGCGGGACGGCCGGTCCGGTCGCGCAGCGCGGTCAGCTGAGCGCGCCGTCAGCTGACTCCCGGCCGGGCGGCCGCCCGTGCAGGCGCGGCCTCCAGTCACGCCGCGCTCCCTGCCCGCAGACCGCTGGCAGCCGCGCAGGTGGGAGCAGTGTCCGGGTGGGCCGCGCGCACCGCACCTTCAGCTCGCCTCCTGTCCCGGCCGCCGCGCCGCCGCCGCCGCCGCCGCCGGCAGCCCGCCGGCAGCCATGAGCGCGCCGCCGCCGCCATCGCCGGGCGGCCCGCCCCAGGCCAGCTCGCCGGCGCCGTCACCGGCCGAGTCGCCGTCTCTGGAGCGGCACCAAGTGCGAGTGGGCTTCTCGGAGCCGGCGTCGCCGTCGCTGGCGCGCCGGCCGGACGGCACGCCGCTGCGCTCCGAGCGCAGCCCGACGCCGACGGGGCCGACGCGGCCGCCGGTGCGACCCGGCTCGACCGCCTCCACGCCCAGCCCGACCGTCTCGGTCACTTCGTTCGACGGCGTGCCGAGCTGGGCGCACCGGGCCGAGGTGTGGGCGCCCGGCGCGCCCGGCTCCTCCGCCGGCGATCCGCAGCATAAGCAGTCGTCGCAGTTCGACGCGCACATTCATCAGCTCAGAGGTGAGTGATGGCGGCGACTGTCGGTTGCGCTGGGCCGTGCGTGCTATCCATTTGCCCCCCCCCCCCCCCCACCTCAACCCCTCTACTCAGCTGTGCACGGTTTTGGCATTGAAAATGGCACCCATTTAATCCAAACACGCGACGTGAGTCGAAACATTTAAAAAGCAGAGATGGCGACAGTGGGAGACCGGCAGCTGGTTACGGCTCCTCCCTCGGTAGTTACACAGGCGCGCCTCAGAAGATGCGGGAGCGGCAGGCTGTAGGTCTGACGGGGCCGTGCTGCGGTACTAGACCCTGGAAGCTCGAGGCGCGTGCGCCTGTACACTGAGTACGCGGGGCTGCGGCGGCCTGCTAGCCGGCGTGTCAGCCGCGGCCGGGGCGTCCCGCAGCGCCGCGCCGCGCCGCGCTGCAAGTCACCCCGCGCCGGGCTGGCGGCGGTGTCACGTGGGCGGCGGCCCGGCGCCGGCCGCCGCACCGTCGCCGTACGGCCGCCGCACCGTCGCCGTAAGCGGCCGTGCCGGCCGGCCGCTGGCCGCTGGCCGCTGGCCGCTGGCCGCTGGCTTCCCAGCGAGGTATCTGGAAATTCAATATTTTGAATGGAAATGACGTCTTTCATGGATGATCTTGGGTGTTGCACTGTACTCCGATCATACATTTCTGTTTTGAAGTCATGGCTATGTTTTCAATATTCCGCCTTTTCTGTCTCCTTCGGGCTTCCGCGAAGACATTCGAGTCTATATGGTACTTGATGGCTCCATGGGGGCGCACCGACCGGGCGGCGGTGCAGTTCGCACTGCTCAGAACAGCGATCCGGCCTGTCGGCGCCACCGGCCGGCAAGGCGCTATCGCCCCCGAGCATATCTCGTCCGGGGTGGGCCCGAAACGAACGTGCCCATCTCGTACGTGTCACGCGCGATAGCGGCGTATGTGAGTATGGAGATCTACGACGGCCGCGTTTGACGTAAATGCTTCGAAGATTGGGTGTGGAATGTACACAGACATATTTGCCTTATCTCAGCGTTGTTAGGTCCCACGCGTTGTTGGTATTTAACGACGTGCTTCGCTGTATTCACTCGTGGCTGATTTCTGACAGACGACAATGTGACCAGAATACAGAAACGCTAAAACCCTGCGAGACGGAGTGTGATAACAGCAGGCAGCTCCGTGTGCATCTAGGGAGTCTGGTAATTGCAGCAATAGATTTACATTAATTTTACCACCGCTCGGTTAGGTACGAAATCGCACGCTTCTGCTATCATGACATTTCAGGCATACATCGCATGTAAAGCATCACGACTACGGCGCTACATACTTCATACACAACGTCACACAGCACACCTGCGGTGCCAGTAGCGCCTCTGGCTGGCCGACACCTATCATCTGGGTGCTCGATCGGTGTCGGCTGGCCCATGTCCCGCGCCCGGCCGCTCGTGATAGCTTCCACGCCGCATTACCGTGCGCTGGCCGGCCGCGGCCGCTTCTCTAACCGCGCCCGAACCGCAGCAGCCACACTGGCCAGCTTTACGAGCGGCATTTATGGCAGAGGCGCGGCGGCGATGAGGGCCGCTGCACAAGGTCAGCATGTGCGCGGCGCTGGGCTCAAGGTGACGGCCGCCGGCGCATGGGTCCCGAACCGCCGCGGGCGAACGCCCCCTCCCCGGACCAGCGGGACCCCGCGCTGCCCCGGCCGGCGGGCGGCCCGAGGGGCGCCGACCGGACGCCGCCGCGGGCCGTGCCGTCGGCCGTTGCGGCACGATTCGGCGGCGCCGCGGCTTTGGGCCGCTGCTGGGGTGACTTGAGGGTTCCCAGAGGCAGCGGCGCTACGTCAGCGTTTTCAGGAGGCCGGTTCCACGAACCGGGGCCCGGCCGCCGCTTGCAGCAGCGCCCAGGTGCACTTCCGGGCTGCGAGGTCACATTTTATGCATTGGTTTGGTGCCCCGAGCCGATGAGCGCGTGTGACCTCAGCAGCGGCTTCGATCGCGTGGTTCCGTCGAAGGTATTTTCCGGTAAACGTTAGGTGATTAGCATCGGCCCGTGTGGTCGATCCTTGCTAAGCTGATGCCTACTTCATTCACGTGAACTCGACCCCCAGCGTGCGGATGTGAAACGCTAATGATGTAAGTAGTCATATTAATCCGTAAATAAGCGAGGATTGAACATCTCGTCTCCCGGAATTGGGCCTTCGTCAGCCCTGCAGGGCAGGAGTATTGGTGGAGCAATCTTATGCAAGCGCAGTTGCACACACAGTGGGGTTAGCTTGGCGACGCTCCCTTCCAAACTTAGTTGAATGGTGAAATGGGTATAACAACCGCCCCCCTCCCCGACCCCCTGATGTGGTCGGCTATCTGGAAGTGCTATGAAATGAATCAATGTTGCGTACCCCTAGATTTTGTTCACATTGTCCGGCCTGAGCATGAAAAGCATGCGATACATTTTTTTTTTTCAACCGACGTTAGACAATGCGCGGTCCAGACGAGCATTGCCTAACGGCAAGCGGAGTTTTGTTTCCGTTTCCTCTCTCCCCGGAGTGTCTCAGGGCGCGGCTGGGCTCGCACGTCGGCGGTCCGGGGCCGTGAGTCGGCACGGCTGTGCGGTACTCGGCACACCCGGTTCGCCGGGTCGGACAGTGACCGTGTTGAGCGCTGATCGAACCAGCCCGCTTCATGTCGGACCGGGCTGCCGACGTCACCGCGCTGGCGCTCGCCTGCATCGTGTCTACAGATGTGACCTGATACGAGATGTCCTCCGATGCTGGAGCTGTGCGAGCCCCTCCCCTCTCCTCCGGTTGCCAGGCGACGGCCGGTTCATGCGGGTCAGCCTGCCGGGCGTGAAGAGATGGGCCGGCGCCTGGTGCCGCGCCGCCCGTCCGTGCGCCTGGCCCCGGGCTCGTGTGTGTGGCTGGTCCCCGCCCACGGCCGCGTGCAACGTAAACCGGGGGCCATGTGATGCATGTCATGATGCATGCTTGTCAGGCCAGACCGATACTGGTGCGGTCTCGCCTACATGGCCTGGACCCATCTACACGGACGGAGGGGTGCTACTGAGTCCGCTAGCTCCTGTCGGGAGGCGCCCTGGCTCTCGACGGATTTGATGTGATGGCATTGTTTGTGCGCCATAGCCTTCACCCGGAGTTTGCCTACGTACGTGTGTACGTGTGTCTACGTGTGTCTAGCCCTGTGTGCTGCTCTGAGGAGTGCTGAATTATTGTTTGGTTTAAGAAGCTGACGAAACCCTCGCAGCTGGCGACAACTGGTCAGCAGTTTTGTCGCGCCAGATGTGTGCCACCGATGAAGCCATCGGCACTGCCTGCGAGTTGTTATGATTTCGCACCAAATTGGAACGGCCATTCCTACAATTTACATTTGCTAAGAGCAAAGGTTCTGTAGGATGAAGTCATCTTCCCATCTTGCCCATTATTTCTTTGCATTCTGGTTACGAGCAAGGTTATTCTGACAGCGCTTTGACAGTCGTGGCTAAACAGCACGATCCATGACGTACGTACAATAATGACGTGTGACGTACACTAATGACAATCCATGACGTACCATAATGTACGGTCCGTAGTGTCACCATGACGCTGAAATTCTGGCATTGATATCACAAGGAACAGTAAAGACACTTGGGGGTGAACACCGACTCCTTCATTCGACAAAACATCACCTGAAAGTCTATTTCACAGCCTCTTCGAAACCGAGGTAGCTTTAGTCAAAGACTGGATAGAAGATGTGCTACTGGCAACAGATAGTGAGGCATTTTGCTTGTTTCTCACTGGTGGTGCACCGCGATCCCGCAGCGCGCTCGTGACTCCACTGACTTCCACTGCCACGGCGACGCCACGTGTCAGCGGTACTTGGGCAGGAGCCGAGCTCAAACAGGTCTGGCTGCCACTTTTCCCTGCCTTTCGATCGAGCGAGGAAATCAGTCGCGCCCGCCCGCCGACCCACACGGCAAATTATGCGAGGTATCCAGGTCGCGTCGCTGGTCCCGACTGCCGCTAATACGCGGTTCGGCTGGGCCTGATGCAACCGCACGAACCCAGTTCAGTGCGGCCGAGCGGCGCGGATTCTCGGCACGGATGGCAGGGGTCGTGTTCGGACATCGACAGCGCCGCTCTGGGAGGCGGTTCGGGCGGCAGGGGTCGGCTCGGACGACCGGAATGGCACGCGACACGCAGCGCGCGGCGCCTGTCGTCGGTCACCGGCCGCTCCCCTCCCAGCGTGACCTTTCTGTGACGGGTGCTGTCGGCAGCCGGCGGCGGCGGCTCGTTCACGGCTTCCCAGCGCCGGCGATCTTTTGACGATGCTCCTGGCTGGCGTTCTGGCTTTTTTCTGGCTGATGACGCCCTCACTTGTGTCGCATTCCTGTTGCAGACCACTTCGTGATACTACCAAGGTCACGTAAAAGACACTACTACCATTACAGGCGACCCAGCGCTGTGTTGGAAAAATATGTCGGGCCTGTGTGTTGGAGAGCCGCTCATGAACCAGTTGCACCTTTAAAAGGAGATCTATTGTGGTATCACTTCAAAAGGCAAAGTTGCGTAGTCAAGCAATCTGGTCTCAGCTGAAATTCAAAGTTGATTTGCGCGAGGGTGACTTCTGAAAGATCGGAAAGCTTTTCGAAATTCGACTGACGGTTCAAACCGATATTTCAGATTCCATTGTTCGGTGCCTCTGCCTCCAACGCATGCTTAGTTCAGGTGCTGTAGCGACGGCAACAAACACTCTCGAACGCTCGCTGTTGTTTGCCGCAAAATGAATATTTTGAAAATAGCTTAGTGCCCCAAGCGCGAAGGTGGCACGCCGCATATTTCCTGAACTTTGGCCGGCAGAAAATGGTTTGGCTTTTTAGCACAATGGGGGTGTTGCTGCTCGTGTTGTGTGTAGTCCATTGGTCAGCCACATCCAGTAAGTGCCTTGGCGTTGGTGAAACAACAGCCGGCTTGTCCAGGTCACTGCCCTCTGGCCTTGTCCCGTGGCAACCAAGATCGTGTGCAATCACTCTGAAAACTGCTGTGCTGCAGAGGAAAATATAGTCGGGAAGGTTTGCTTGGCTGCTGGGTGTTCTTAAGCTCGGCGGTTGCTGTGCATCTGGACCCACATTCCATTCGTGCATTGCATAACTGGACCAGGCGTGCCCTGCCCGAGGTCTGGATATTCAATGCATAGAACCTGCGACCGCGCCCTGGGCAGGGGTCCACATCATATATTTGTTGCTCCATTATTTGTCACCGAAGCGTGATAATAATCACCGGTCATGTGTGTTTTCCTTGACAGCAAATACAGGCATAAACTTCGTGAACAAGGTTCTCTTGGGACCAAACGTACACAGTAACGAGAATGAGAAGATTTACACCTTTGTTGTGAATGTATTGCGTCGATAAAGGGCTAAATAAAGTAACGTAATGGTCCCTTGTATTTGGCTGCATGTGGATAGGGTTTATGTGAGTGTCGCGTATGAATAACCAACATATGTGGTCTTTTCAGATGAGCAGGAGCGAATGCAAAAGAAAACATTCCTGAACTGGATCAATTCTCACCTAAGAAACGTAAGTCATTCGCGGTTGCAAGTGTTGCAGCGTAAACGAAGCCCCGCACGTGACTACACGCGGCGACAGTCGAGGGAGCGAGGGGGCTAGTGGCGCCCTCTGCTAGCTCGCCGCACCGAGAGATCTGGGTCAATGTGTCTCTCCTGTTCGTGCAATCTGATAACAATAATTTGTGATGGAGCCGTGCTGCAGACAGTCATGCAGCCAAGAAGTGGAGTTTAGAGAGGTATCTGATCCGGCCGCAATGTTGCTTGACGTCGATGGCTCTCAAGGGCCCCCTGGGTCAGACGTTGCTGCGGTTCTCATTTACCCTCCCTAACAAGCCATTTTCTCCATCAATACTTCTCAGGAGACCGCAAGGGGGGGGGGGCATGCCCACTTCGCGTGGGATATGTCTCGTTGCGATCGTAATTGGCCAGTGAGGAAAACTGTTTCAATTATCTGCGGATAGACGGCGCTCTTTTCCGTCGCACCGCGAAAGCTACACGTTTTCGAAGAATGGCCGTGAAAAAAATCGTTTCTTAGCCCGATGTTTAGAATGCTGCAACACGCTTCCCTCATTGGTTTATTTTTCCATTAGAATCTTTCCCTTTACACCGTGATATTTGTACTAGGTGTCAGCCAAAGCACGTGCCATATGCAAGGATAATGTGACGTAGTGGCATTTCCAACACGACAGCATTTCTGTCTGGAACGTTACAGCTGAAGGCTAGGAAAATTTGAAATGCCGTATTGGGGTTCCAAAACCGCTTGTTTGAATAAAAGTGTTATGCTCATTCGAGGAGAACTAGAATTAGAGAACCTCTCATGTTGGCTCTGCACCCTCGAGCGTGGCTTGTGACTTGTGCTTCAGTCGGTTCGGATCATCAGCGAAACCGTCTCTCAGCCCAGTCAGTCACATATGCACCTATTTTGGTGTAATTGGAGAAACGTCGCTGAGGCATCAATAATCGATTATTCATGTTATACATGAGATTGCTGCGACCTTGGCGAGGTCGACGGCGCTCCGTCGCGCTACCAGGCTGACGTAACCTTGGCGGCACGTCGGGGCTCGGGCACGTGCGGATTTGCGCTGGCCAACCGAGGTCTGGCCGAATATTTAAAAAGCGGAGCATCCGGGTCGCTGTCATCCAGGAACTGACCAGCAGCGAGCCCCGCGTGACCTCAGCGGCGGGGCGGGCGGCCGAGGCGGGCTTCAGTGCGCCAGCCGGGGCGTCCGGGCCGCCCGGGGCGCTGTTGTTTGTGCGCGCGGCGGCGGCGGCGGCGGCGGCGGCCGCGCCGGACGCGTCACGCCCCGCTCCCTGCCGCGCATCTGACGGCCGCACAGCCGCCGACATGCCGCCGCGCACCGGCCGCGCGGCCGCCCGCAAACCAATTACCGTCAGCAGGAACAACAGACACGATTTAATGCGGTTGGCGCAGCCATGAAGTCGGCCGCCGGCGGCACGGTCATCTTCGTGTCGATCACGTCAGTGGCGTTGCTAGGATTTCACCCAGGAGAGGGCCAAATCGGCTCAAAAGGGCCCTTTCAGCCAGGGAGACGTCTTTCTCAATCGGGGAGCATTGTGATACCCGGTATGCTACAATGATGCCTCAGGGTCCGTATTTATGTTTTAGTGGCTTACGGACATATTTAACTGCCTGAAACTGCTGGGCCTTGGATCCCAGGGGACCCCGGTAGCTCCAGGAGAGAAGAGCATGGCTTCCATAATCCCTTTGGCCACGCGACCGATTCCCCTGTAGTCGAATTGACAGAGTGGCATGTGACTTCTTGAAGTGCACAGCGGCTTGGCCTGTTCATGGCAATTATCTGGTATAATCGATGTTCACTTAGCGGTACACAGACAGTTCACATTCCACAAGTGGTGCAACACCATTTCACGTCGCCCCACTTCGTCCGTTTCCCACCGCTCCCATCCGGCACGTCTGACGTCATCCCCGCGGCGGCTGACGTCACCCTCGCGCCGACCGTCACGCCTACCGCAGGCCCGATCCGTCCGGCGCAGCGGCGATTCAAACCGAGGGCGCCGTGCCGCTCCTCCGATCCGTGCGGCGCAGCGGCGATTCAAACCGAGGGCACCGTGCCGCTCCTCCGATCCGTCCGGCACAGCGGCGATTCAGACCGAGGGCGCCATGCCGCACCTCCATTTGCGCCAATGGCCGTGCACCTACAGGAGGCAGCTGTGGTCGCTCGCCCCGCGCGCCAAAACGCCCACGTCCCGCGCGGCAGCGACGGCTGGGAGGAAGGGGGGGGGGGGGGGGGGGTGTAAGGCCGCACCTTCCTGTGTGGAGCACGGCAGGCCGGCCGTCTATAGCGCCTACTGTTGCCCGCTGCCTGCCGGATGCTGAATGCTACAGTGTAGAGGTTTACACCTGCATTGTAGGCCTTGGTGCTGCGGCTTGCCGGCAGCGGCAGACGAGCCGCGCCAGAAGGCAGTCTTGTGCGGTGCCGGGGAGACATACCGGCTCAGGTGCCGTTCAGAGAACAGCTCGCTCTCCGCGCGCTTGGAGCCGGCACCGGGGGCGGGCCACTGGCCTTCGTGCTTGCAAAGCGGCTTATCCGGTGGCTTTGCAGTGGCTTCCAATGCAGGGATTTGCGTCCAATCTCTCGTCAGGCGAAAAACGGGTTAGCTCGTTCGTATCGGCCATGTATGTACCGATAGGCTGTGAGGTTTTCGTGAAAGTCTGCCAGACTCTTTTACCGAGAAACGCACTCGGCTTCATACACCAGGCCGGTTCTGAAACCGGTCGGGGTAGTGATGTCAGGCTCCGCCGGCTTCTCGCAATCATATGATCGACTGTGTGTACATGCCGAGGGTGAACTGAGCACGACAATGCTCGCAGCGCACCGTCAAAGAAGCTGAAAGAAAATGGACCCAGCGGGTGTCCAGCAGGCTAAATGGCCAGTGTTTCTCCATCTAACCAACCATTCATTCGGGCTGTGACCTCCCGCCTCGCCCCCTCCCTCGGCGCGTGATTGGGGGTGTACGTCGCATAATGTTGTGTGCGCCGTCTGCCCCGATCGCCAGCGCTAACTGCGTCTGACTCTGCCGACAGCACAAGCCGCCGATGCAGATGACCAACCTGATTGACGACCTGAAGGACAGCACGCGCCTGCTGGCCCTGCTGAACGTCCTCTCCGGGGAGGATCTGGTGGGTGTTGGGCCGACCCGCCCTGACGCGGCGCTGGTGCCCGTCACTCTGACAGCCAAGAGTGAGAACATTCATTGGTGCGGGTGACTGCACAGGCCGTGTCGTTTCAGCGCCGCTTGCGGCCGCTGTCATGTCGATGGTCAGCGAAAAACGCACCGGTCGAGTATTGAACCCTGGACCTATTGGTCACGGTGCCGGATCGGTTAGACCACGCAGCCCCGCCGCTGCCGGTGTTTAGGCGAAGGGCGACTTCGTGTTGTGTGGTCGTTTATGGTTTGTTCTATTCGCGTCATGCTGGCTTCTCGTGTGTTGGTTTTTTGTGCGTGATGGTTTTAACTTAACACTAAACACTAAATCCTCCGAGCGGGTCCTTGACGATGACTTTGGCTCGTATTGACCGACCTCTCTGCTTCTGGCACCGGGAGGCCCAACCATGACACGCGAAAAGTGCTCGTATGACTGGTGACGCTCGGTGCTAATGCGCCAGCATGACCACCCAAGTGACGCAGAAGGTCGTTGGGACCGACTGCTTTTTAGTCCCCGCTCTGACAACTAGCAGACCCGGGCTCGGTGCTCTTTCCGCCGGTCATCGCTGAAGAGCTCATCACCCCACCCACGCGCTGACATCACCCGCCCAGACCTGCGGTTCGATTTACATGTCGCGAAGGCCGCGCTTTCTGTGTGGAGTGCTGAGCAACTACCGGATGTAGCGGAGCCGTTGGCGTGTGTTAGCCCCCTCTCAGCGGCGGTGACATGCGCTGTCGCTTCCCCAGCCGGTGGAGAGGAGCCGGGTGCTGCGAACGCCGCACTTCCTCAGCAACGCCAACACGGCGCTGCGCTTCCTGCAGAGCCGACACGTGAGTGGCCGCGGCGCTGGCGGCGCTGGCTCGTCCGCTGGCGGCCCTGGCGGCTGTCCGGGAGGAGGGCCCGGTCCCAGCCGCTGGCGTGGGCGCATGCTGCGGTGATTGATGGTCCTCTTGCGGCGTGGTAACACCGCGTGAAAATGGGATGGAGGCAGGTTAGCGTGGATGGATATGGGGAGGGGGGGGGGGGGAGATCGGAGGACTGGAGTAGTTTTTGCTTGAAGGTAAAACAGAGCTGCTGCGAAGCCTTACGAGGCGCGGAGGATTAGCCCCGGTTGGCCGTACTGGTGGAGAGCCCGGCCCGCCGCGCCCCTGGTCCGGAGCGGCTGCACGCTCGGCTGCCGTGTGAAAGCCGGGAAGTACGCCCCCGGCCGCCCACGTGGTGCGGCCGGCCGTAGAGCCGGCCGGGTGTGACGTCACCCACCACGGCAGGCACAGGAGTGGCTGCTGCTGGTGCAAGGTCGACTCCTGGGTATGCTACGGGCAGGTCTAGACGGTAGGGCCGATTAGGCCGTGCCCCCAAGACCGCGGAAAAGCGTGACTTCTCATGTTTGAGCCTAGCTTTCGCGTAGATGGCAGCGAATCCGGAACTGCCTCCCGCCGTCATGTGCCGGATCCGGCCCTGGCTGTACTCGCATCAAGGGCTACCGAGAAAACGTGCATCGCTGGAATGGTGTCGTTTCTTTACACAGAGACAGGCATGTGGGGAATACTGGGATCGGAAAGCAGGTACTGTGTAGGTGGTGCGTGTTAGCCGACTGATGTCTACAGTAGCCCTTAATTAAGTAACGCGCAGCGCGTCAAAAGCTTGTCGCATCTAGGCTGACTACATTACAAAAGCCTTACGTACTTCAGGACGGTTGTTGCAATTGAAATCACCAATCTTTTCGACCTTCAGTTATCACTGCTGCTGTTCTTGGTTTGTGCCGCGAAAGTTACCGGCGAAATACGCTCACAAATGTACGTCACAATGACCACTATTACAGTATGCCCCTCGTTCTGTTGTTGACACACTTGAAAAGGCACGGATGCTCCGTTCAAACAGCTTCCTCAAACAAAAACAAACAGTCCGATGTGAGACGGTCAGCCCGCGGTCGCCCGCTCCGCCGGTGGACCGACCCGGTACGTGACGGCCGCTGAGGCGCGGACCACCGGGGCCCGTTTGACACCCCTCCGGCGCCAAGGTCACGAGGGCAGACCCTCTGAGAGCGGGGCGGCTGTTTGTTCTGCTGCCCTGTCGGGAGGAGCGCGTCACGTGCGCTCTCCTGGCCGGCCGCCGACGTGCGCGGCGCTCGGACCACGCGAGCCGGCCGGGGATGGATCGTCGCCCGCCCAGGTACCGCCTGAGCAAACAGCGCGTGACAACGGGATTGGACGGCGGCGGCGGCGGGGGGGGGGGGGGGGGGGGGGGGGCGCACCGCAGCCGCCGGCACGCCGCGGTTGCGTGCCGGCTGCCGGTGACGTCACACGGACGTGGTGCAGCGCTGCGGCCGAGTGGCATAGTTTGAGCGCCGCGTTCTCCCGTGTGAAGCGGCAGCCATGACACATGAGAGGGCCTGCCGGCGGTCGCAGGTGGATGTGGGCGTTCGCCCGGCGACTGGAGCGCACACTTGGTTGTCGGGGACAGTCTGCCGCCAGGTTCATTCAAACTCGTGGAATGAATGGGTAGACAGCGGTAGCGTTTTACTAGTCGTTCGTCTGTGGATGTTTTGTTGACCGTGTGGGCGGTGCCGTGGCCAGAGGCCGTGTCTCGTGACAGCGCCAGCCCTCTGCCCCCTCCCCCCCCCCCCGCCTCAGCCTGGCTGGCGGTCGGGGCGGCGGACAGATAGGAGCCCGCGTGGGCGTGACACTCGGCGCTCGGTATTTTCCTTCCGGGGATTATCCGGGTGTGAGGGTTGGCTGCACCCGAGCTGCGGACGCGGCGCGCTCGGGCCGTGCCAGAGCCGTGAGCGAGCGATGCCGCCTGCCGCAGATAAAACTGGTCAACATCAACCCGTCGGACATCGTGGACGGCCGGCCGCCGGTCATCCTCGGCCTCGTCTGGACCATCATCCTGCACTTCCAGGTCTGCCAGCGATGCATTCTCCGGCGTATAGGCGGGTTTGGAGGCTGGAAGTCGGGCGGGCCCGCTTGACAGGGCTCTCATGGGGGCGTAGAACCGGTGCCCGCTTTCATACCGCTCTTGCCTTACCTCCGAGATGATGTCACCGTATGCAAACGATACTCGGCTGTGCTGTCGTGCCATGTCCGACCTGGCCTGAGCAGCGAGAGCGGAAGGCTTTCGTCAGCGAGAGCGTCGGCATGGAAACTGAAGTTGCGCTGTGGGGAGTGAGGAACGCAATTTGGGTTGCCATTTGATCGGGAGCAAAGTGCTAAAGTGCTCCATGCGCTCACCACGTGTGGTGAGTGCATAATCCATCTGAGGTCCGTCCTCTACCAGCGCGCCATACTACCCACCCCGAAGCGGGAGCAGTGTAGCGCGCTAGAACGAGCCGATTCGTGCTGCCGTCATCCACGTCGTCGATTCTGAGCCCCCGTCTACACCGAGCGCGCCTGTATCGACGGACCGGCTTGACCTGAGCTGACCTGACCTGAGCTGACCTGAGCTGACCTGACGCAGATCGAGATGAGCACCCGTGCGCTGGAGCAGCTGGCCTGGAGCGGCAGCCTGGCCAGCGCTGAGGCGCGCATGGCCGCCTCGGCCGCCGCCGGGCCCGCCGGACCGGAGCAGCAGGCCAACGGGGCGCCGCCGCAGCCGCGGCCGCAGCAGCCGCAGCCCGGCGCCCGCAAGGCGCTGCTTAGCTGGGCCCGCGGCGCCACGCAGTGAGTCCGGGGGGCGAGGGGAGGGGCCGCGGACGGATTGCCGGATGGTCTGTTGAGTGATGCGTCCTCTTCACGCGCCAGGCACCGCCCGCATGAGGGCGGCGGCGAGCAGCTCGCCGCAGCCGTCTCTGGATGCTGATGATGTATGTACTGGGATGTCTCTGGTCTGTGCTGCGTACGGTTGACCGGTTTGCGCGACATGCGCGTGGAAGATGACCGGTTCTCATTCCCCTCTGCGAATGTCGTTTTAGCGTGTTTTTAGCGCCGCTGTCGCTGTTAACGCAAACGGTCCCGCCGATGTTACGCGGGCGTTCGGTGCAGTCTGCACTGGCAGCGCCGCCCGTCCGCACCGCGACCCGGAGCACGCCCGCTCCGCCCCGCACGCCGCGAGCTGTACCACCGCCGCCTGTCCGCCCCGCCAGGATGTACGGCATCGAGATCCAGGACTTCGGACCGTCGTGGCGCGATGGCCGCGCGTTCGTCGCCGTGGTGCACTGCATCGAGCCGACGGCCGTGGACGTCGGCGCCGCCGAGCGCATGACCTCGCTGAACCGGCTCGGCGCCGCCTTCAAGGTGTGCACCGGCCGGCTGCCGCTCTTGGCGTGGCTGGGCGCCGGTAGCTTCACGCGGCGTGGGGTCACAGATCGATGGATTGTGTGTGTGTGTGTGTGCTGGGATGTTCGTCACTGTTCTCGGATAAAACTCGTAAAAAGCTCGGAGGAGGTGAGCTGTGCTGGTGCGCACCGCTGGGAACGTGATATGTGGCCAGGTCTTTAAAAAATGGCCATGACCCAGGACCTTGAAAGGTTCTGAAATGTTTTGTTTACGACATTTGTTTACGCGGTTCAACTGGCGGCACAGAGGACAAAAACAATGCTGGGTGTACCGTTGGATGGACGATAGACGGCGCACCCGCCCATAAACCCAGCCTTTCAGAGAGTCCCGCCGTGCTAGGGCGCGGTGTAGCGCTCTGCAGACATGGGGCGTCGGTTACCCCGGCTAACCCGGCTTTTAAACCCGCCTGACCTGGCCTTTGACTCGGTCTTACCTGGCCTGGCCTGTGGTCCTGCCTGGCCTGGCCAGCGGCTCTGTCTCACCCGGTCTGTGACCTTGCCTCACCCGGTCTGTGACACTGTCTGACCCGGTCTGTGACGCTGCCTGACTCGGTCTGTGACGCTGCCTGACCCGGTCTGTGACCCTGTGTGACCCGGTCTGTGACCCTGCCTGACCAGGTCTGTGACCCTACCTGACCCGGTCTGTGTTGCTGCCTGACCCGGTCTGTGACCCTGCCTGACCCGGTCTGTGATGCTGCCTGGCCCGGTCTGTGACCCTGTCTGACCCGATCTGTGACCCTGCCTGACCCGGTCTGAGACCCTACCTGACCCTGTCTGTGACCCAACCTGACCCGGTCTGTGACCCTACCTGACCCGGTCTGTGACCCAACCTGACCCGGTCTGTGACCCTGCCTGACCCGGTCTGTGACCCAACCTGACCCGGCCTGTGACCCTGCCTGACCCGGCCTGTGACCCTGCCTGACTCGGCCTGTGACCCTGCCTGACCCGGTCTGTAACCCTGCCCGACCCGGCCTGTGACGCTGTCTGACCCGGTCTGTGACGCTGCCTGACCCCATCTGTGACCCTGCCTGACCCGGTCCGTGACCCTGCCTGACCCGGCCTGTGACGCTGCCTGACCCCATCTGTGACGCTGCCTGACCCGGTATGTGACTCTACCTGACCTGGCCTGTGATGCTGCAGGCGGCCGATGAGCAGCTGGGCATCGCCCCACTTCTGGACCCCGAGGACGTGGACGTGCCGGAGCCGGACGAGAAGTCGGTGATGACGTACGTGGCCCAGTTCGTGCACAAGTATCCCAAACCCAAGACACTTCAGCCGGTGAGTGATGGAAGCGCAGCTGCGAGGCAGTCGTCTAACGCACTGGGGTGGGTCTGAGGGCCTGACGTAGCAGCTGGGTTCGATGCAGGCGTGGTGTGGGGCATTCTAGTCCCGTACGCTCGAGGTATCGGTCGTTACAATAGGTACAGCAGACACAGCCAGTCCGAGCATGGCTATTGGAAGACTATATTTAGCATGTCGCAGGATGAGGTGGTGCTGGTTTAATACCAGTTTCAGCGAGGAGGCGAGTTGGCTGATGTGCTGTTTGACTTGCATTTATCGTTAATTTGTGCCACCTCGGCATCTGCGATGTCGGCTGGCTGGTTGGGTCCGTGCGGAGCTGGCTCCCAGCTGGGAGCACATCCGAAGAGCCGCGGCCCGCCTCTGTCTGCTGACCCAGCAACCCGTCCTGCGGCGCCCGCTTTGAACCTGCGCTGGCCTCGTTGGACGCGTGTGATTCCCACCCAGCTGTATCTGGCGCTGGGCCAATAGACCGGTGTGGAGGGGGGGGGGGGGGGGGAGGGGCACGCTGCTGCGGCAGAGCTGATAGGAATGTTTGCTTGCTCAATCGGAAGGCGATGTGTAAAAAGTGGACGTATCTTCCACGGTGATCTTGACCGGATTACGTGAGTGCGCTGCCTTGCGCTCCGGCGAAAGAACGCTGATGCGTGTGAATGGCCAGTGGTGGCCCTCGCGCGGCGCACAAAAACTGGCCACGCTGCATTCAATGGCCAGGGCACGGCTGACACGTGGGTGGGGCGGAGGTCTGGCGCCGCCGCTGCCCCATTGATGCGGTGAGGCTTAGCGCCTTAAACGACATCGTGTCAGCCCTGGGTGGAGAGGCCGGACCCGAGACTGTTACGCGCAGAGCATCGTGTTCCTACGCCTGTGGTGTTTGGCGAAGGTCGGCAAGAACTGGGCCACCCTTCCCTCACCGGATACCGAGCACGCTCCCTGGTGTTGTATCGTCTCCGCCGCCCAGCGTGAGAATCCCTGGTGCGTGCCTAATGGTACGCCTTTTTCAGTCGGCGAGTGGCGAGCAGCGCACCCCCAAACAGGAGGTCATGGAGATCACCGTCTGGATCATCCGGACGATACGCATCGTCCGAAACATTCGGTCGCCAGAGAAGGACAATTTTGAGGTGAGCAGAGAAGACGTTCTTTGCGGCTTGGTTGCCATCATCCCTCATCAGAGATGTAGTGCCATTGTCTTTTTTTAGTCGGTCTTGTCGTCTTGATGAACATAAACTAACACTAGTGAAGATAAGTTGGTGATGTCAGCGAATAAACATTAGTCGGTGATATATTCGAGGTTGCGTTGCCAATGCAAACAGGGCGGTTTTGTTTCACTCGTTCGTTTATTTACTATGCATGTGCAATATTTCTAGACTGTGGGCTAAAAATCCCCGGGTTTCACAAGGTTACGTTACTGCACCGTTTAGTGATTGAGTAAAGGCTTGCAACCGTAGTTTCACATTTTAGAGCCCACATTTATTTCCGGTCTCCCGCGCCATCTCTCCAACTCCCGTTCTATTTTCTTTTGGTTCCCCTCTTCCCGTTTCTGAATTACACTTCAAGTGGTTGCATGCAGGAGGAACGGAACAATAGCTTTCCCATTACTATCGATTGTGTGTACAGTTCGATTTTACATGGGAAGCCCGATGCGTTACGTTATTATCGCCGCACCCCAGCCATGCCGCACATGGTTATCAGACCTCGGATGTCGCATATCAGACACCGGATCTGACGGTATCAGATGTCTGGCATCGGACCTCATGATGACGTAATAGCAGATAGTGGGCAGGGTGGTAGGCAGCATATCAGATGAGCCATGTCACGTAGGCGGACGTCGGCAGGTCAACACGACCCGCCATGGCTGGAGCCCGGACAAGAGCGTGACACGCACTGTCGCTATCCGCTACATTCTCGTCGTTACATGACAGCCGCTTCCTAAAACCTGGTAGTCCGCCTCCTCCCTTGCGTAGCATGCGTCGTTAAGCCCAGCACCGCAGCCCTGCACCTCGTCGGCATCGGTTGCCAGCGTGTTGCTCCGCCGACAGAGGTACCATTCGACGCGCACCGAGGCTGCGGAGCGTCGGCTGCGGTACACCGAGCTACGCAAGACGGCTGACCTGATGCCGGCCGACGGCTGGCAGCGGGCCGACGAGGACTGGACTACCCTCGAGACACTGGTACGGGGCAGGCCGGGCCCAGCGCCGTGGCGGTACTCGTGAATTGGGCCAGGCTGACAGCCGGGGCAATCTGACAAGCTGACATGAAGGCATCCGGTTATGAGCGGGTTCTTTTGACCACATTGCCCAGTGAGCGAAATATCCATGCTTCCTGTAGCATTTTGGTCGGGTACAGCGGACTGGATCCTATTGGACAAAACCGAGCAAGAGAATCACAATTCAATCATCTGTGGGTCCAGTTACAGCTCGTCCTCATGCATAATGTACTGTACTGCCGTGCCATAGGACTGCCGCGTGTATTTCCGTTCGTGGACACGCGCGCACTGAATGGGCGGTGTATGACTGTGTGGTTGACGCGCCCTAAATCCCAAGTAGCCAACCAACCATGTGCGCGGTGATTGAAATCACCTCTTGGCATTGCTGTGAATTCCGCTTCCGAATCAGAGAGAGTCAAAGAAGAACTGAGAGCAGACAGTGGTAATAGCCTTATTCCTCAGACAAAAACCAGGAGAATGGAGGTAAAGATGGGTTGATATTTCGACAACATGCCGTTATCAAAACAATAGCACATCTGCCATTGTTTCGATAGAGGCATGTTGCCGAAATATCAACCAATCTGTATCTCCACTCTCCTGGTTTTTGTCTGGGGAATAAGGCTATTACTACTGTCTCATCTATGTGAATAACGTTCCTCGCTAATGCACTGAACAACTTACCTCATCAAGGACTGAGATCGTTGTAAAGTCACCACGCTGAACTGT